ATATATTTTTACGGTATATATAGATATATGCAGTGTAGGTGGATAAATAATTGGTTTCTCGATTCACAGAATTTGTTATTGATTTGTAGTAAACGGACTACTTACTTGCCATGTTCAGTTTGCAGTTCCCAGTTTAATCAAGATATTTCTATTACAAATTATCGAAAATTCTTATAATATCTGGGTGTCGATTGGGAAAGTGACGCTCGAGAATGTCGAGTTGAGTTCAAGGTTAAAACATAAAATCGGAAGTAACTGCACATACGAAACAGATCTCGCTGTTGCTGGTTGTGCTGATTGTAGTGATCTTTATTATGGATGTGCATTTCTATATCGTCTAATTCGTACAATGTCAGTCTTCATAGCGATTTTCCTAACTTTTGCACTGCGGCCTTGCCCAAGCAGAATAGATCAAATTCAATGACAATTCCTAATTGTCTATTGGAATCAGAATATATCTGTGGCTGCGACGTATCTGTCTGCCCAGCATGGTGTTACTTACATTCCAAGTCCACCTGTAACCTCAATTGTTTGGCCAGTGATGTACCTGGAGGAGTATATCGCAGTTGATGATAGTGTTTGTGATGAGACTTAGCATACAAACAGGCACACATTGGTTCTAGTTCCCTCAAAACCAGTACAATATGATGTGGTGCTGGATATATGCAATACGCGACTAAACCGTTGGGGATTGTAGAAAAAATCTCAAACACCACGCGGGCGACCATAGTTTTAGAGACGAAAGATCTTACACCAGGTACTTATGGGGCACTTTGCCACGAAGGGTATAGGGGTTGCGTCAATGGTTCAGATGACTGAATAAACTTACCTGGCTTGATCGGATGATAAGAAGAAGCAGGCGTTAGCGATATCCTCGGGCTTTCCGATTTCGCCCATCGGAATCATCTGCTTGACCATTGCTTGCACCTTGTCGGGAATTGTTGCGATCATGGGCGTCTCAATCATGCCTGGCATAATGGCATTGCAGCGAATGTTTTTGCTGATATACAGAATGAACAAATATATATGACATGAGATTTTGCGGTTTGTTCTAGGGGTTGCGGTGTTTTAGTAGTTGGGGTATAGTTTTGAAAAAAAAAAGAAGCCCGGATTTGATTGTCGTTACACAAGTCAGTACGTTGGGAACCCTTCATGTCAGTCACAGTGTCTGGAACAATACTGTTGTATTGCAAACACCAGGTCGCAAGAGCACACGTTGCCAGTGGTACAAGAATGACAAAATACACCTAGCACAGGCACAGTGAGAGAGAGATATACTACGTATTGTATAGTCATCCGGCACAGGCGCAGGGAGCGAGATATACTACGTATATTATTGCTGTGTTGGCAGTCATTCATATACCTTCCCAACTCCTTGGCGACGGTCTTGGTGAAGCCAACGACTCCACTTTTGGATGCGGCGTAATTGGCCTGTCCCATATTTCCACCTGGAATTTAGGACAGTGTCAGGTAGGTATCAATTGACTGCTATCAGCTCATTTCATATAAATATTCTAAGAAGACACGGGGGGTTGTAGTCCTACACTCGCAGCGCATTGATAGTTCTAGTCAACTCCAACCGGCAACTTAAAAGTTATCATCAATGTCACTGCACTCTTTTATGTAACGCCACTGTACTTATTTACGTTGTTACTGTACTCATTCATATAAGCAGATGCACAGTTCGGAGAATACGATGTCATGCAGAATATACGGCCAGCAAGCTATCGAGACATACCTTTGCCGGAAATGGACGAGATGTTCACAATGGACTGGAGAAAGAAATAGTGAAATAGTGATGCAAGATCAGTACCACAGGCAGTATGCGTATATATTAATCTTCACAGTGTAACAACTGATATGGGTTGCATGAGCAATACCAGTGGAAGTGAGGTCTGCTGGGTTACTGAGCATGTTGGTTGCGAATGAATTCTCAATCGAATCGAAGGGAGATCAAGGTGTGGATATGAAACCGTAGGCCAATGGGTCTATATAGCACAACTACCGAATAGAATGCGTACATTTTACCCACACAAATTGAAGATTGCACATACCCCGGTCAGTCCTTTTGTCACCATTGCTCTACACACAGCCTGTGTTGTCAGGAAAGTGCCCTATATAAATCAGAGGAAGAATATGATATCAGTCATGTATAGGATTGAAATAAATCAGAAGATGAGTATGTCCTGTTAGTATATATTGTTCTCCGGTTGAATCATATCTGCCGCACGTGTGCATGTTTGAGATCATCGGCACATTGAACACATGTCTACCCCACGGATTGCAGACGACATAGTAACTGAGCGCACACCCACTTCAACCGTTCGAGAGCAAAACCCATCGCCCAATCATATCACATGAAAATTTAAAAGGCATACCTTCAGGTTGACGTCATTGACTGCATCCCATTCCTCCTCGGTCATCTTCAGGAAACCTTTGTCGCGAGTGATCCCAGCGCTAGTTTTAGAATGTGCGAATATAGATACTTAGTTTTCCGCAACAGGCTACAACTACCGCATGCAGCTTATGAAAGCCTGTGCCGGTCTTATACTTAAACATCTAATTCAGAAGACTGTGTATCTAATATGTTCCACATTTCGCTTGTGGAGGATGTGGATTAACATATGACTAACGCTCATGTGTTGACAAGGGCTCGATGGCAATGTAGCGTACGCGGTATGCAATCTATATACATGTATGACTTCTCCACATGAAATCGTGCTGTGACAGTCCTGTACAGGTCAAAGAACAATATCTCAGTTGCCCAGTGCATATTTAACCACTCCGAGAACAACGGGCTGACATAGAGGCTGTACCTGTTTATGAGGGACACGGTGCGGATGTCTTTGCCCATAGATTTGATGATGTTCTCCACAGTCTCCTGTGTGTGAATACGAGCAAGTTGTTCGAGAATTGGGATAAGCTTATGCTATTTATCATTGATACTCATGGTATCACAATCCAGAAGGGGTTCATTTGAAACGTGGTTCGTAGAATGCTTGCGCACAAAGAAGCGTGCGAATACGAGCATGTGCACTCACATCGATTCTTAGCAATGGCTACCTTGACACTCAACCGCACACACCGATACGATACATACTTAGAGTGCTAATATCTGTGGAGTCCAAACGTAAACAACACATACGTTGACTTGCGTTTGGGACGCGACATCACAAGACATGCCCTGGTGGCCAGCGCCTTCCAGTGCACTCGCTGTACTCTTCGCCTCGTCACCATTACGATCAATAGCCATTACTGCGAAAATAAACAGTAAGGTTAGAATGATAGACATATCAAAAAGAATTTATTTGTGCTTGGTTGCCAAAACAATCCCAATAACCATTTACCAAACTATGTGCATGCTGCTTTACATGTACTCACTCCATCAAGACGTATTCTTGTCTAACCTCAATTTACACCTACCTTGAATTCCAGCCTGTGCGAATCGTCGACATACCGCGCGACCAATACCGCTTCCAGCGCCTGCAGTTATACGTATTTGAAATAAGATAAAAATATGAAATTTTAGCAGAAATTGCGCAATTGGTCAGGTCAGTATGTAGCTGATGCAAAGTGACTAAGTATATGCAGGCGAAACATATAGAAAGTATCACCTATATCCCTTGATAAATGGAGTCTATGATTCAGCATATTAGATATTAGTTAGGAGTTCAGAAAATACTGTTGCAAAACGTATATACGTATGTATGCACATTGTAGGTAATACGGTATACACGTATATTACGACCAGGGGCAGACACGGTCATCAAGAGACTCACCTGTTACCAAGGCTATGCTAGTTGCCATTTTTGCTGTTGTTTCTTATGCTATCTCTCGTATACGGTGTACGTGAATATGAGTGTACTGTTTGCAGTTCGAGTGTTTAAGTACTTTGTACACCTTTATTTTTAATACGCCCGAGCCCTGATGCTTGTTTACAAATAACCATGTCAAGAAATTTCGAATCCCCGAAGAGCCCGGCGTGACTGGCCAGTGCTTTAGTATTGATTTCTGTAGGCGGGGGGGGGGGGGGAAGAAGAGGATGCCGCCAAAATTCTTATCACATGATCGCTTCCTAATAATTGGATTTGGCAGCTTGTACAGTTGTGCCTCTTGTTTACTATCAACTCTGTATTGCAGTGACGTTGTCGGTTGTATTTAGATACAACCTCATGATATATTTAATTAGGTTGGTACGTAGCTACCATCAAGCCTCAAGGTCTTTTTAAATAAAAATATGAACTACTTAATAATACTGGTATTTATCTGGCGTAAAATGGATTTAGCATTAGAAAACATTCATCTATCTAGAGTGTCTAGCAGTCAACGTAGTAACTACGAATATATATACCTGCCGCTTTTGATGTTCATGGGTATTACGAGATACATTTTTTAGGCTATTGCTAGTAATTAGCGTATTGTGCTAAATATTGGGGTATATAACAAGACAGTATGTATATGCACTGAGCTTGGTTTCGGGGGTTCGATATTAAATTTTGAATCAAGTATCACTTGGAACAGTAAACATGAAATATATATCAACTGTGAGCGTCACCGGAAACAACATTGTATGACGTCAAGATCTGTATACGTGCAACTATAATAAGCCATCAACTAGGTGTGTATGACAAAAGGATAAAAAGATAACATATCATCCTTCTTCGTCGCGAATGCAGTACTATTTACCAAAAAAAACATGCAGTCTAGTACGTTTCAAAATAAAAAAACTCTTCCAACGTTGCATCAACTTCGCATCACTATTATAAAGTTAAGCTATCAATGTACAAGATAATATTTGGAAGAATGAAAACTTTCACGAACAAACTACTTCAAGGTATCAATGTAAGCGATAGTAATTGGAAGAATGAAAACTTTCATGAACAAACTACTTCATTTTTCTACTGATTTTATGTGCTGCTAATGAAAGTATCATATCTATGTTTTTACACAACGTTGAGCACTATCAGGGTTGACGAAAGGGCTGATGTTGGGCCTAACAAACGGAAGCTGGAATTCTGGTCAGTTTCCTTTTTAATGCACATACTCTTGTAACAAACAAATTGACCAATCATATCAGTACAGCCGATAAGACGTGATTGTTAAAGCGATCATTGCGGCGATTTGTAGTTCACGCCGCGATCGTGGTATAAGCAGTTACACTCTCGATATTTTTTGCTATCGTAAATTTTTAACTATGCTATCATGTTTCCTTTACGTGCTATACGGCTACACGAGTCAAGATACATGGAACACGATAGGAGATCATGTTTGAACCCTCGATCATGGTGACGACACCGTAGATGAAAAGCTTTATGCACGACTACCCATCATCACGCGCAGTTGCTTTCAATACAGGCTCTTATGTTGAGTCTCGCAGCCTCAATATGAGACTATATTCCAAGTTGGCACTACGCACATATAAGTAGTTGTACCATGTCACAAAATTATCTCAGTACATTTGATTATATACAAGTATGTAATCACCATGGATGATGAGAGTTCCATTTTATGCCGTCTAAAGGATATTGGATTAACTGACCTTCAAAAGGCGGTCAAGTACGGTGTAAAGTCGTCCGCCGGCTATGACCCGCACACAATGAAGCCATTGCTCAAATACACTTATGCACATGCCGACTATATCACGGATGAGTCAGGAGCCATTGAGATTGGCTACCAACCAGATGAATATCTCAATCGCGGTTTAGTAGAATACCCGGCCAGCATCAACATGTTGCAAAGTTGTGCCGAAGAGCGACATCGGAATCAAGCTCGTCGACAGATAACATCCCATATGATTGTAGTAGTTGACCAATCAGGTTCGATGAGAAACATTGTAAGAAACACCGATATAACAAGACTGCAGGCGGTGTACAAGACCATCGCGGTCGAGCTGGTCGCCAAGCGATTGAATGATTGTACAGCTACGTATACAGATGTTCTGAGCGTAATAACTATGCAAGATGGTGCAGCATGCGTGCTTGATTGCCATCCTTTTAACTGGCTTTTGTACAACAAAATATTGGCCTTATCGAGTAGTTTACCGTATAGTCACGGTAACTACTTGCCGGCTATCAGACTGGTACATGATTATGCAATGAGATATCAGGATTTGAAGCGCACTCCCGTAGCTGTGATGTTACTATCGGATGGAGCTCCTTCTGACACTCGTAGTAATGGACCTGACACTCTCTCATCTATGGAATTTTTACAATCGCTGTACGAAAGCATTGTCAAGATGAGTCATGTACTGGGCAGTCGGTTGACATTCAATACAACACTCTTCACGAGCGACTATCAACGCCTGGAATATCATGGGCAGGTACTACGCAAGATGACTAATAAAGCAGTCGAAAATGGAGCACAGGGTATATATGACCGCGGATCCGGCTCAGGGACCCTCCATGGTTCATTTTCATCCATGATAACCACTATGACAGCCACCAAGACACATCTGCAGGAGTGGGGAGATGCAGAGCTAAGCTCTAAATACGACAGTCAGACGCGCGACACTCAAAAGGCGAAGAGTGCGAACGATCCTGAGTTTAAATACAATCACTATTTCCGTAAGAACGATGCCCTCAAAAGGTTCACCTTCGTTCCGCACAAAAAGGGCGCTCAACGTTGGAATGTTGCCGTTCCTCCAACGGGCATTGAAATTCAAGATGCTCACTTTGGAGTTGGTGCTGAGAGAATTGTTAGGTACATGGAGATCATCGATGTGTTCGGAACGGTAGTTTCTGCCCCGTTGGTGGCCAAGGAGGCCAAAACAAAAGGCGGACACATAATTGGCAAAGACTTCCATATTCCGTTCTTCACCACTCAGGCTCTCGCACAAGAACAGGCAAACAATTTCAACGAGGCTGTAGATAAAGTCGGTGTCAGTACAAAGGTACCAAGAGTTTCATTCGTGACCTGCGAGCTATACGCGTACAATGATGAGGTGAACAATCGCCAATGGATTCTCGCGGAAAAGCGTTTGGACGAGTCAAAGTACATCAAATGGAATGATAATAATGGGCACGTGAGGGGCACACGTGAAGACTGTCTAAGGACGAATGCGAATGAGACTTCGTCTGAGCCCATTAAGGAGATAGTGGAGCTTTTGGCCACTTTGAGAGTGGGAAAGACAGTCGAGTTCGATCCTTGCGAGCACGTGCTGAAGTACGATCCATACGAGAGCGTGATGAATCTGATAGAGACGGGCGAGCTGGCTTCGGATAGCGAAGAGGACAGTAGCGAGGGGGAAGGATACGAAGACGGCTCTGTGGGTACGGAATGTGTTCAGCTATGTGAAGAAGTTGTCGATGTTAACAATCATATTCGTGATGTTAACAATGATATCCCTCCTGATTCACAGTGTGTTTCATCAAACGAGATTCTGTCACACAATTCCGTTGAATCGCATTGTATAACCACATCAGAAGTAAAACAGACACCGGATATCACCCATAAGCAGCTTTCGTCGCCCACTGATACTTTGCCAATGGTGAGAGAGCCAGTGAAAGTCGATACACTGGTTGTGGAGCTGGAGAAAAAAGTGCTCGAAGACGACGTGCCACAAGCGTTCACTCATTTTACTTATGCTCACACCAAGCGTGCACTGATGGTGTGTGATTTACAGGGCGTTCTGGATCGATCGCAAACGCCAGCGATGTTTGAGTTTACAGATCCATGTATCCACCATCATGATACAAATCAGCAACAAGCACGCCGAAAAGGCAAGAAGAAGAGACGTGCGCGTCGAAAGGTATTTGGGCGCACAGATCTCGACCGCCGAGGCATGCATCAATTCTTCCGCACACATGTGTGCAATGCTCTCTGCGAGATTCTAGGCATTGACAAAGTAAAGGAGATCGACAGAAATGCGGGCGAACAACACCCTAGGTCGAGAAATCAACGACGCCGACGCTGAACCCAACGCTACAACTTTCGTTTCAATATTATTAGGGATGTGCGGGAAAAGCCGCTGCTTCCGGCGGCAGTGGTCCATATTTCGTAGGGTGCCGGCGATACATACATACATATATATAATACATATAAGTTCAAAATGGTGGCCAACAAACCAAAGTGAAGGGACATACAATACACGATGTTGGACAGATGACTTTCGATTACTATAGTGCAGCCAGTGCCATGCGATATATCATATCATACGTTCATATTTGTAGGATATACATACTGGGTGTTTCTGTGCTACTTGCTGATTGCCGCCATTCAATGTGCACAACAATCCATTAATAAAACACACACAAAAGCCCCGAGCTATGACTTGCAATTCTTCCTGAATGTACGGATTCGGTTTAATACATTTTGATATACATCTTACTTTTAGGCTATTTAGCTAGATATTGACTATTGGGCAGCTACCCCTTGACCGATATAACTTTCAAGGCAACCAATGTTGACCTCCAATGGAACCGACACAATCAGCAACGTTGAAATCACTTGGCTTGCTATCGGGTGAATCCTTGCGGAACTTCTCGAATGCATATACTATAGGCAATAAGTCCTGAAGGTTCCTTAATACAATGGCGGCACCACGACCGTTTTCGGAACGACCACCTGTTATGTTGGAAATACAGTTCAGTATATATATATATATATACCTACAGACGGCACTGAACGCTACTCGAGAAACTAGGAATCAACATCATATGCCAGAGATGTAAAAAAACGAATGATACAACCATAAAATTGGGAATAAAGATGGAACGGGTTCACATGGCTAACAGTATAAACGTACCGCTCATCAGCATCTTGGCGTGTTCATCCTTCGCGGCCTCAGCAATGTGCCCCGCACCCACATAGCCCACAATTAGTCCTAATTTGGCATTTGCCGCAGATCCAACACCTGAGCCGGAATCCTCAACCGCCACACAGTCCTCGTACGCCTTGCCCTGTGCATTGGCTGCCTTCATGTACACATCGGGTGCAGGCTTGAACCGTGGGGGTGTGAAATCGGACTCGCCTGAGTGGATGAAGTCGTCTGTGGGAAAGTAATTCCTGATATTGGCTGCGTCTACACACACGGGCACACGTGGCTTGCCAGAGGTGGTGGCAATGCAGTAACTCAGCCCGTTGTTGTTTAAGGATTGCAATACTTCCAGACAGCCGTCTACTGGTCTGCACAGATTGCCGAGTGCGACCAGAGTGTCCTCCTTCTGTAGCCTATACAATGTAAAGATAACCATGTAAGTGTTATAGCTTTGTAAATCACGGAGATTGTGTCATTGTGTCAATCTTATACAGCCACGCTTTACGTAGAGTGCTCTCGGTCCGGACTTCACAATGTGCTTCGATATACAACTACCAATATTGTAGCGATACAACTGAATAGATTCTCATACTTTCTACCTGAACAGATAGGAAGGAGCAGTTGACTACAACGATAAATATGGTATGCCTCGCTCATGATTCCTAGTAGTCTTGCAATTCAACTATTCGAATTTTTCACGATAAAGCAATCAATTCAATCTATGACGTTTCATGACATACATGCGTACAGTAAATTACCACATAAACACATACCACGAGATCAGGTAAACTATATATAGTTACATGGTTATAATGTAATATATTTACCTAGACGTATCATTGTAATGAGATGTAAAAGACATACATACTTGTGTAAATTGCAGTCGGACATTCACAAACTGTACATTAACATCGACAAACATGTACAACATGTACGCTTCGAGTTACTTACGTAAGCAGAGAGACACTCCCTGGGTTAGTCTCGGCCAGAGGCTTGAGACCAAGTTTTTCCCTCCAAGGATTAATCACGGACATGATGTCCTTTGGTTCTGATTTGTTTGCACGAGATTCCTCACACGTTTCCTACAAATGGTTAGTTTTCGCATGTAGAAGTACGTGTTGGTTGCTGCACAATTAAAATTGCGAATCGACGCATAATTTGCGCATCGATGTAATATCAGATGTGTAGGGTAATGCGAACAAGCCATCAGCCTGATATATAATATCTTTAGGCCTCGACCATGGAAATAGAAGTCACACTCGCAGGCAACACATACCCGGTATTTTAGGGTTTATAGTATAGTATCTAGCAAGGGTATCAGATATCCATTGATACTTACACCAGTACTTATCATAGTGTAGCAGACTACAACCAGCTATCTTGTTCTCACACAGTCTCAAACCCATAAAACACGCAGACTTTCGCTTGCCAAGCACATACCGTTTCATTCTTAGACTTTCGCTCCTCATCAGCAGCTTCGATCATAAACTCGAACGCCTTGCCCGCATTTGCCCGAATGAATTCGAGCATGGTTTCCGGTGTAGGCGGTACACCCAAATAAGGCGCCAGTTCAATATACGCCACTTCCATAGCGGGTGTTTCACTATCGCATAGTGTCCCGTCGAAGTCGAACAGAACAGAAGTCTTGGAATCGGTGATGTTTGCCATAATTGCTATGTTTATTTGTTTACTTTAATTTGTATGTGCAGTTTGGTTCGACTGCTGGCTTCCGAGGATTAGATATCAATTGAAGTAGTGTTGTTTTAATGGGTGTGGTACGTAACTGTGTGGTACGTGAACCTGTTGCTATACTTTCAATGTACATCAGTGCATCATGAACCAAATAAATATAAAACACAAACAGAGTACAGCACATACGCAATATTTCGAAAAAAAGCATCACACGTCACAGACCACTCACTAGTCACCACAGCCCACCCACTGAGATTTGTTGTCTAATTACTTCATGATCCCAATCAAGAGACCTAGTGGGAACACCCAATCATCCGATTCGCGAACACTCACAGAAAAAGTAAACAATGACGAGACCGAAGTCACCAAACGCCAATTCGGATTGAACGTTGAACGTGAACGTAAAAATTCCTACGTATACATTTCCTGCCAGGTGGAATACCAATAGTCATGTAAAAGGGTAAACGTTTTTAACTTCAACGGAAAACCTCTTTCAGATGTTTTCAAAAACGCTTTCAAAACGACCTCTCCAATGATTCGAAATTCGAAAAGCTATTTTTAATTTTCAATGGCCAATGGAACCACTCCAAATGATTGATGATTATTTGTATCAGTACATATACAGCCACAGGACACAGGTGACAGCCTGACACTCATGACAGGCCACAAGCCCTCAGCATACATACAGGTTGACACGTAACGGCTGAGCCCTGCCAGCTGTGCATGTGTCCCAGTCTCTCAGAGTTTCATTACACACATGTTATATTACATGTTGAATTATTGATACGATGCTTGCTCACGTGCACAGTACATCTGCACAACCGTGGTGACTGGCGACTTCTAGATATTCTCTAAAGAGCTTTTAATATCACTGATTATTCTCGCACGCAAGCTCATGTATGGTTGTAGTATTGTACATACCGTTGCATTTGGGGAATGGAAGACTATGTACCTTCTAGCCGTGGTGGAAACGTTTATTTACGTAGCTAGTGAGACAATATCACTGTACATAAAATTCCTTCACTGCTAAGCTATGTCGAAAATAGCCTCAACTTGCCTGAAAACCACACATTCGTATACATGCGAATCGAGCTTCTAAAATGAAAGAAGTACTTTCCCTCACTTTACAAAGGGTTGCTTTGAGATCGAAGAAATAATAATTATTGTTCTCGCCAGGTTTATTTATGGAAAACGATAGCTGAGATCACAACTCGCCACAGCACAGCCGACAACAACCAATTCGAAGACGTATAAATCTATTTTAAATCTATTGCACTGTCAATAGGTCACTGAAAATGGCCGGAAACCTTTTCTGGCAAGAATTTTCTCATTCTGAGGTATTTTTAAGTAAGGTATATAGAATATCCAATCTAAATTTGCTGAGATTTACTCAGACTGGCCTGCGACATTGTATGTTTTAATCTTTGTATTTAGAATTTAGATATTTCAATATATTAGATTAGTCAAGAAGTGAGTGTGCAAATAGAATATTTACACGCGACAGAGGAAGTGTTCGGAGTAGGGCAGTAAAGGCTTGACTGTGTATGTACCTAAAAAGGCTTGGTTGCAATACATACTCTCGTTATTACTCGTATACGGTATTGTAACAGGCGGGTTGAGGTTTTATAGTCTTTCGATTGGCTGAAATGAAAGTGGCGCTCAATAAAACCCAGCAGGGTTTCAACGATTCTGACGGGTTTGAGAAACGAGATTTTACACATTTCTCAACGTTTAGAACTGAAAAGCTAGCTGCAACATTTCCTGTTCCGGCTGATAAATTTTTACAAAGTTTCAGCGTTGTCTGCCAATCCGTACGAGATTACATGCTCTGCACTTTTGTAACTAAGTAAATACTTGTATAGATACCTCAATTTTACTGAATTTGGTATTTCCACACTTATTACAAAACTTTTTAAAAAATAGATACCTTACATACCGGTCTACTGCCCCCGTCAGCGGTCATTTTTACAAAAGCACACTTGCTCTATATTTACTATGTATCTAAATTTTCTATACATTATCAGTCTGTATCAGTCAAGATTCATACTATATTAGGGAATAGGGAGAGTCCGCACTCCCGACTCCGCTAGGAGGGTCATCCGCCAGGAGGGTCTAGGGTGACTGCGTGAGGCTGAGGCCAGTGAGGCGCCAGTCGCCGCCACCTCTTTTGAATGGAATCTGCTTTACAGCCTTGCCGCCAAGCTCCGTTCTTGTACGATTTAAATTTTAAATGTTTCTACCAATGATTTTGAGATAAAAAAGGAGCTGAATACTTTGTAACCCAATGAAATGTATTTTTAGTTAAGTCTGTCGAATACGCCACTTGATATATGCGATATTGATGTTGGAGCTCATCATTGTTGTCAGCAGACATCCACAGGCATCAAAAATATTTTACTGATGTCTGATGATTACAGGTACTAATTACTGAATACTGTGTTCATATATGACCGTTAAAAATATCATCTCCTGTATTCCGTAACGCTCTCGAGTATTGAAACATATCAGTTGATCTTTTTCTTAACATAATATATATATGTATATTCATTACAGATAGTCTTTTGAAACGCTCATAGTACGTTGTGCGGTATAATCCAGCCAAAGTTGTGCGGTATAATCCAATTGTAAATATGTCAAGTTCAACACAACCTCAAGATGATGGTAGTAGTAGCGAAGAAGATCAGTTTGAAGATGCAGAGGAAGTCGACGAAGCTATGGACGATGAATTGTATGGTTAGAAAATAACAGTGCCATCCATCTTTTGTAGATATACGGCGAAAGTCATGAACTAATTTTGAGATGGGTTTATGTCTAAAAGCTTTCATATATATAT